GTCAGCGCACCAAAGAACTGCGAACTGCGAGTTTGTCAAATAATGCGCGGCGAATTTTGTACAGAATAAGACCTAAACTTTTCATATCACAGGTTAAATCTAACTCTAATGCAGTGTGACGGATTTTAGTTTAGATTGTTCAGTACTCATAACATAACCCTAATTTTAACTTCTTAATTGCTGTTTTAGATCGACAATTTATTTATGAATAAATTAACAAAGTTCTTCATGAATTAATTCACGAATTTATTCATAAAAGGTTTAGTTTTACATGCTACAGACTTCGTGAATTTCTTTGGTACATAAATCAGTTCTACCAACAAATCAAAGTAGTACTTAAATTTCAAATTTCACTCAGAAAAATGTTTTACGTTTCCAATGGTACACGTAATGGTACAACAGCGATACCGTTTTGACACTGTTTATAAATATTAGTTTTCGTAAGCAACATATCTGTAAAAACAATACGAAAGTAGTACGACGCCACACATTTAGTTACATGCCAATAACATAACCTCACTACTGATCTGAAGACGAAGATTTGTTGGATTGGTACTTCTGAACTTCACGAAAAAATTCACGAAAATTAGAACTTGAAGAACTTCACGAATAAATTCATGAATTCAAAAAGCAAATGCAACAAATAAAGGCTTTGCGAATTATTGAAAAAATGGTGCTTCAACAGTTAGTTACTACAAAATACGTTTAGTCAAGTTAAAATTGTTGAAGACGAAAAGTTAACGCTTCACTGGTTTTCATAGTAAACACATAACCTAAAAATAGATTACAATAAACGAATAACAAATATTAAGTAAAGTTGAATAGAGAAATACGTATTATAATTTTGTACAAATATATTTTAAATAAATAACATTGGTCGCTACATGTATAGTACAAAATAATAATTTTTAAAGCAATGATTTCAGTAGCGATTTTCTTGTTTACTGTAAATCGTAACCATAGAAATTTGAAATTTGGATAACCGTAATCAATAGATATAACATGACACAGATAGTATTGTTGAAAACCACTAGGTGGCACATTTTCTAACTATTCATATCTTGATGTTTCCATTTAAAACTTTATAAATTTTTTGTGGAACCGATTATGTAAAAAATTTTAAATTATACCAAAACATGCTTTGAGGTACTTTTGTAGTTTATCATACTTGAACTCAACAAAATTTTGTACTCGTACAGGGTATAATAAATAATCTCTTGTATCTGTTATTGTCAAGGGCGGTGTTTTTCTTTTAAGTGCCTATAAGTTTAATTAATATTTTAGTGAATTTTACTGTATACAAGTGAAATGTGACGGATTACACGAATAATGAAATGGTTCATATTTTAAAAGCGTATTTTCTGTGAAACAAATATTTCAAATAAACGTTGCTAAACTAAAAATAAAATGTTAATTAAACAAATTAATAAACGTAAGAAATATGTTAAGAGTTGTAAAAATTTGCTGCCAACTCTCAGTAAAAACTCGGTATTTAGGAAGAAATAGTTTATTGATGAAAATAGAAATGGCAAGAGAGGAAGCCATAAACATTTTTATGGAGATATTTCAAAATTTCTGTATATTTAATTATCTATTTTATGCAGTTTATAAATAGCTGTTGTATTTGAAATTCGACGTGTTGCGTTGTCACAAATGTGCTGATGTTGTTAATATAAAGTAATTAAGACATAAAGCCTCTAAGGTAAGGTGTTATATGAACTTGAACACTAATACGCCGAGGTCGTCAGAGTACGTCTACTAACGACATTGTTATCCTATAACACCCGTGATATCTTCAACGTTTCATGTCCTATAGTTATTTAATTTAACATTTATATATATTTAATTTGTGTTGACGTTACTAAATGCACTTGTAATCGTTGTGTTTGTAGTATGGTGTGCTTACGCGCAATGACGTCACTAACGAGAGTCCGATGAAGTCAAAGCATATATTATATTGGCATAGAAATGTTACATTTTCTCGTTTTTCTAATAATTACCACATTTCTAGAGCTGCTGTAGACTACACATCTTCACATCAATCATTTTATTATGCAAAACACACATAAGTGACACTTAAAGACTAAAAAATGATACAATATTTAAGGTTATGTTCACGTTAAGACTTTACATACATGCACTGACACAGTATTGTACAACTACTATTTGTAACAATAGTCTTCTTCACGTATTACCACAAGACGGAATATTGTGGCAAAATACTTGACCAACATTTTTTAATTGCAGTATGAAATCTTTATTAACTGACAATTTAAAAATATATAAATCTGAAACGAATATGACCGACAGTCGTGACGTATTACCTCAATTGCGCCATCTCTTAATCGGAAGTTCAACTAAAATCTCATAGCACTGCAATTCTCCTTGCATTTATGTATGTAATAGCATTGTATAAGTAAATTTACTTATACAATGGTAATAGGGAGAGAGTTACTTAAATGAAAAATTTTCTGTAATAACAAATCCATAGATGAATATGTCAATTATATTATACTATATTAAATATTTGTCACTGCCCACAAATTAGATATGTAAATATATTAGCAACTCCTCTCGATAGTTGAACTCTAGATTCCAATACTATTTACAATTTTAATAGGTTAAATGAAAATATTGGGTTTCATTTGAGGTAGTAATTCGATAAACATGTCAATGCTTGTTATTTAATCAGTTGTTTCCTGTTAATTACTTACAATTAAGATAAAGTCAAAGATAAAGTATGACCCTTAAACCGTAAAATTACATTATTTATTTGAAATGTTTCAAGTGAATTATAGTTTATCAGAAAGAGATTATGTTTGATAAAATAATATATAAACATCTTGTATTACTGAGAAGCTAAACATAAATAAAATAATGTTATAAATTCCATATTGTCTTTTTTATCAACAGAAGCTACAAAATAATTAAATTCTAAAAGCAACTACAGTATATGCAATTAATATACATATTTTGGAAAATAAACTAATTTACGGTAACTTCTCTGGTAATACGCAAAAGCCTCTTTCAAATCCATAGCCGCGAAATATTTTTAATATTAAATCTGACTGTTTACGCAATAAATGAATCACTTTCTTACCAAACAAGTTGACTTAACAAATAATTTACTAGCAATGATGTGATTTTATTTGTTTCCTCATATTTAATTGTACATTTCATTATTGGCAAATTATCAAATTACAGAAAAGTAACAAATTTTTAAAATCTGCACCATTCTCATTAAGTTAGATCTATGTACCACTGAATGGTGGTATAATGAATTTAATGGATGGGATACAAAATGTTATGGTCACTGTGATTGTCCATGTAATTTTCTGGAATTTTTTGTACATAAATTATGTGTGTATCTAAGTGGTCAATAATTTTATGATAGGTTAATTTATTTACATTGCTGCTTGCCCAATTTATAGTGGTAACATATTATGTCCCATATTTAAGAAAATATATATTGTTAACAAGTGTTTGATTAATTTTTGAAATTACAAAACAAAAAACAAAAAAAATCTCAAGTGAGATATAGAAATATGAATTTGCAATACACTTATTTCTAGTTCAGTTTTAGGCTAACTATCTACTTTTTATCCACTTGTTTAGAACAGAGAAAGCCTACATCAGTAGCGATTTTGGCCCACTTTATATACCAAATCAAAAATACGGGTTAGAAATGTCACTGCAAAATTGCAAATGAAAAAATTTCCTATTTACTTGTAAGTTGTAAGTTTCATATATCAATATCGGTACAATATACACACTGGTACAATTTTGACAAATATCTTCCTAAAATATACCACCTCAAGTGTTATCAACATAATTTCCCAAAAGAGAATTAGATATAGTAGATATAAAAAAATATTTGAATATTTTTTCACTGTTTAATTTATTTTTATTGAAGTATATAGTATTTACAGACATAAAAAATTGGTGACGGATTTATGCTACGGTTTCCTATTTCACCTTTAGCACTGGTCTTTTGAATAAATTTAAAACACACGTATTTGTTACTTAAAAACATTAGTTTTTTTTAAACTTTAATCAAACCAATCAATCTGCCTAAGTGCCTAGTCAGATCACAGATTCAATTGACCCAAATTGCAAGCAATTCCAATTTCTGTAGGTGCACATACTTCGAAAAACTGGTTCTTCTTGTTTGGTAAACTGAATTCAATATGTAGGTGCAAACAAAAATCAAATATTATTGCACTCAGTCAACCTCTAATATTTATTTTATTATCAAAATCAATTATTTATACAACATAATCAATTTAAATAATGTCTATTTACAGTGTGGATGGAAATCTATCACACTTAAAGAAGGATACTGTTTTTATTATTTTAACTGTTAATTTTACAGATGATAAAAAAATAACAAAGTTGATATTTTTAAATTAGTACAATTATAGTGATTACATCATAATCACGTGTTCAGGTAATATACCTATAAACGTAAATACATGATACACTGTTTATGAGTTATGTTTATCATGCTTTTTTACATCATGTAATTTAATATTTACTTACTTAATCATATTGTGACTGTATAGATTTCTTACATTAATTATAACTAATTTAATAAGATATGTATTACACATTAGCATCTGTGTCGTAATCACTGTAGCCCATATTTCTAATAAAAAAAGCTGAAATTAAGGAAAATATATCTTAATCCTTTTTTGATCTGACATATTTATGTAGATATTTCCAGACACCTCTATATTTATTCAAATAGAAAGTACAATCCAAGGACTTGGCATTTTATATTTATCTGAAATAATCCTGTTTTTTTCCATCAGTATGAATTATATTACATGTTCACAATTTATTTCCATAGGTAAAAAATATAATAAAAACTCGAGTAAAATATTGGTTGCTCACATGCAAAATTGCATTACAGTTTGAAATAACAAATTGGAAGCATTTCTATGGGGCAGTTTGCATTGCATTAGGGGTTAGCTTTAAATTTACAAACGTAAAACACTTACCCATACACAGATAGGCTCTCGTATCATAACGGTGAAGACATCAAACATGAATTGAGTGATGGACCTGCTGTCAGGTTCAGTGGAATTCCTGTCAGTGTGAACTAGGACAGCCTTACTGTTAATTTCAGACATACTATTCCAGCTGGGGTCCTTTATGGTCTGGCTTGAGAAGTAGACACATGCTGAAAGGGCCACTAGACTGACAAAAGAGTATGCCTTCAAATTAGGCAATGGTAACCTGTCTAGTAGAACCATTGGCATCTTGTTACTGTTTAGTTTGCGAAACTATGTGGACGAAATCTCGATTTAGTAGAAGACCTTCTGTAGTTTACGATATTTGTTTCTCGTGGTCCGGCAGATTTTTGTTTGTTGACTGATCACACAGTGCGTTGACATAGTGATGTAAGTCCCGTTCGGTAGAAACTATTTTTCTGCTGAATCGAAACAATTTATTACCGCATATGTTCGGCACACATCACAAACCTCAAATTCCAAACCAGCAAGCTTGAAAGTCACAGAAAGAAATGTAAATTTTGGTTGCTTATCGATCATATGCCGCGCCAGCTGTTTGCAAAGATTGACACATCAACCAAGCGCTGCAGTAGATAATTCAGATCATTGCTTACATTTTTAAAGTAGCAACGCTTGATTAGACATACCTCTGATAGAGGGAGCACTCTAAATAACATTCCTAAGGGGCATTTAGATTTGCACATAAAACCAATAATTGTATACAATTCTTGAAATAAAGCGGTAAAGCCACAAAATTAGAAACAATTTACACCATAGTGGAGCCATTGGGAAAAGTCACCATGCGTTCTCGTCATAATAGTGAGCTATCACATTCTTTTAATTTCGATGTAATAATTTTATTAATGCAGCTACTGGTCGTTAGATGTCACATCTATTGTTGCTAGACTACTTCTGACGTTACCTTTGAACATATATTACGTGTAAGTATGCTTACAGCGACAATGTAGATGAGTGACAGAGAGAGAAAGAGATACGTTAGGTGTTAGTTTCTATCTCTCTCTCTCTAGTCACGTTATTGGCTAACGTATTTTCTTCCTCTACGATTAGAGACAGAGAGACACAGTGTCTAAATTGTCGCTCCTTCTCTACAGTGTCTACACTTTTTAACACGTGGTCTTCCTCCATGTTGTATATGCTCTAATGACGTTACTAATTTATAACCTTGACAGTTTGACAGCATTGACAACCAATGTTTTGTGGACAACCACTAGCTGGCAGGGGTCGTGCCGTATTATATGTTTTGTGATTGAGTACTGCTTGGCAGGAAGACAATCCCACGAAAAAATAGTGAAGTGCAAAATTCTAGGGTCAGGGGAGGTGCTAACTATGGTTATTAAGTGTAATTTAACGAACTGGTATCGTTATTGATTTTAAGTATGGGTTCCCTAGATCGTTCCGACTGTAATTACTACATAAATTTGTATAATGTCTTTTATAGTTAGGGTATGTTACCTTACAAAAATGTTCATTTACTAATTTTGTTGCATGAGCTCATGTCATTGAGTTTTCCACATTAATACTGATTTGCATAAGTATTAGTCAACGATATGAAAATAAATATTATGGCATTACGAAATAGAATCCGAATCAACAGTAAAAATAACCTTGACAAAAAATCATTAAATTCGTTAACCTAAATTCACTGGCGATTGTTTTTTTTTAATGCAGAAATTCATGTACTCACGCATCATCAATACCGCGGTATCACTGCGACTTGAAAGTTTTTCAATGTTTACAAGATAAAAACCCAGCTATTAATATGTTTACTTGTAGCGAATTAGCAGAACAACTCGCTACTACTGATTGCCTTTGATGACAGTTGTAAGTGAGGAGCAGCAATGGCAACTGGTGACACTAAAAAGAGCCCACAATTGAACAAAATTAAATTAAAGGTAGGAAATAGTATTGTGACAGCGAGTGATTCTGATGCAAGCGTTGAAACGAATAGTTTGAGTGCTGATAGCGCAACTGAACAAAATCAAGTCCATCAGAATGAGAAGAGACGGAAGAAGAACCGCAGGGGCTCCGAGTGGGAGATTATGGAGGGTTTGAAGGATGGACAGCGCTTCGAAAATAAACCGAACCTTTTTAACGGATATCTGCATAAGAAGAGGAAGTGGCCACTGAAAGGCTGGCATAAGGTAAGCTGCCACAATTTTTTAGTTAATTGATGACTCGAAGGTCGGCCATAAAATTAATTTTTCACAACAGTAATTCTTGAGGTGAAATATGATAATAGCGTGTAGAATAGAGAAATATATTTATGTCAATGCAATTATCAACCTATACAGTAATCATACAGTACTTTGTGTTTGTTAAAAATAAACATTTGAACTTGGATCTTTTAATTATTGTAAAGTAGCGAAACAATTGTATGTAAAATATATGATAATAATAATCTTACTACATGTATTTAATAGACTTATCGTTTTATATAATTTAGTTATTTTTAATGTATGTGTTCTTTTTACGTACATTTTAATTTAAATTTGAAAATAGAATCAAAGAGTTAAATTGATATTAATTGTACATATTAAATTATCAAATTATAAAACTATCTTCAATAGATATATATTCGATATAGTAATTCTAAATTGAGATTTTATAACTTGTTCTTGAAAAGTCTGTTGTTAATTTACTAATTGAATAGTCTCGTTTGTAGCCTGAAGTTAAAATTAATAGAACATTTGGCAATAGATCAGTCACATGCCTCACTTCAAAATTACGTTTCTGGATATTTGTAGATCGTTTCAAATTTTCTTCGCGTTAAAGGTCTATGTATATGAAAGTTATTATTTCTTTTATTATTGAAAATTTGATTTTTTTATAATAACTTAATTCTTTGTGTTTTATTAAATTTTTTTAGTTCAGTTTGTTTTCCACTGTTGCTGTTGCGTTCTTCAAAGTTTTATCTTTTCCGAAAATTGCATATTAGAGCATAGACTACTCTGCTCCATCGAAACGTTGTTGTAAAGGTCAAAATGTCACCTTACCTGCAGTTAAAGTTAGATAAGTTATTCAATTTATACTCACTTGTGTTTATTTGGCATCAAGCCACTGTCATCATCTTGAATCAGATACTAAAAATGTATAATCCACTTCATTGTTAGCTACAGTCTATTTTTGGTTTGGTTAGTTTTTTGTCAGAAAGGGGTCTTGAAGAAAAATGTTTACAAACGAAATGAATATTAAATATTTTGAGAATGCATAATGTTTGTCATGGGTGTAAATCAGTGCTGACCTTTTTGTTATCTGACATAAATGTCCTACTTATTAAAATTTGGTCTAGAAAGATATTACTTTTTCAATATTAATGTTTAACCAACACTGGACACTGGTAAATGTAAAAAATCTTATATTGCAAGGAATTGTACAGCTTATTAAAGTAAAATAACTGTTAAAACTATTATTTATTATCTAACGATTTAAAGTTTGGAATTGGTTTGCAACTACTGAATATATTATAAATAATTATACTACTGACTGCATGTTTAAAACAATGACTGAATTTGACTTTGTAATTTGCAGAAATATTGTTGCGATAAGAAAGAAATACTTCCATAATTTAATGAAAAGCAATAAGGAAAAAGTCAACAGTCGCATTAAATATCAAATCTGTAACTCTTTTATCTAAATCTGTGTAAAGTAGTCCAAGAATGTTTATTATTAAAGTCATAAATCAGTCTGCAGTGTCATCTTTTCATGTTTAGAATGAGTCATTCGAGAATATCATAATTTCATCATATTCACTTATAAATCATTGTATATTCTCAAGTGATGTATCAGAGTCAATTTTATACAAAAGTTTTAGTGCATTATATCGAAAGAGACAAATATGCATTGATGGCCCACAAAAATTTAAGTGATCATATTTTTGTAATGGCGTTTGGGACCCATGTTGTTTAGAGGATGATTTCTAGGGCCTCATAGAAAACTTTCGTCATGACAAATTTAACATGAAATTTTCTAAATGGAAGATTAAAATAAGGGTGGCACTGAAATCTCGAAAAAGATTGCACATATATTTGCAAAATATTTTTCTTCATGATTAACTATAGATACAAACAAGTGTTTTCTTGTTTTTTTGCAAAACTCATTTTTCTTAAAGTTACAGTTTGAACATATTGATTAAAACAATATTTTGAAAATATATGTGTCAGTTTGAGAACTCCGCGGAAACAAATCTAATAACTAACGGGGAATAATTTCTTATATTGACTGTTTTGAATAATATTAATTAGTTCATATCATATCAGTTATTAATACAATATCTGGAAATAACATAGTAATTGTTCTCAGTAATTACAGCACAGCTCATAAATTATGACCTAAAACCGCCCACATGTTAGCTGGAAATAATTTAATAGATTGTGTTAAAAAATTACATTTTGAAAGTTTTGTTGCTAAAAACTACTATTTTATGGTATTCTTATCTGCTTTAAATATGATGCTCCATTTTGGATCATCAACACTGTAGAATGTGATTAAAACTGGTATTGTTAATTACATATTAAAAGTCATTAGAAAATAAAAATTGGCTAATAAATTGGAACCAGTTCTAGTTCTCCAATTCCAATTTGTTCACCAATAATAGAACCATTGCAATATCAATGGAGCTTAGTGCCATTTTCCAAAAGAATTAGTTTGTAGATGGTTTTGGTTTGATGATGATGATGATGATTTTGGCTTTGCAGCACCTATTTTATTTTTCTGAAAAGTTTTATTTCTTTCTAGAATACAATAGAGATTATGTGCACAAATAATTTTATTTTAGATAGTACATATTTACGTTGCTACAAAAATTTTAATTTTTGTACAATTTTTGTTAAATATCTCAGAAATAATTTTTTTTCATTTTACACTTTAATAACTTATGAAAGTTATAAAATTTACCACAGCTTGCGATAAGCTGCTGTCATAATCGGTTTATATCTTAAAAGTGTAGCCTAATATTTTTTAGTTTATAGCTTAAACTTCTAGGTAATTGTAAAATTTCTTGACTAATTTATTGTGTTAAAAATTGGCAAATTTAAAACATGTCTTAGTCTCTTTATAATTAGTTGTTATTTCTAACTAAAACTTTGAGGAAAATGGAAAGATAAAACCTTGTTAACTGTCAAAAATGAGTGCACCGTATTTAAATGTAATTTTTGTTTATTTCAGAGGTATTTCACGCTAGATAAGGGCATTTTGGTTTACGGTAAAGGCCCTACAGAGATAAACAAAGGTAAAATTCACGGCTCGCTGGACATAGGTTTGTCGGTAATCACGACCAAGCAGAGACGCAGACGCATCGACATTGACGCAGAAGAATTCATATACCATTTGAAAGCAAAGACTGATGATACTTTTAGCGGTTGGGTGCAACAGTTGACGGCACACAGACTCTACAGGCAGCATATCTTGACCTACGGGACGAATGTCGGCGCGTTATTCAGTCCCACTGATGGGCTACATAGTACGTACATAATTTTTTCTGTGTCAGAAAATATAATTTTTACACATATTCTTACGTTCCAGATATTTCTAGGACTCCAGAAATTGTTAGTCGTGATGGCAGCCTCACAAGGGGCTTGAAGCCGCCGAACGGCACTGGTCGCCTTAGTATTTGGCTTCAGGAGTCTTTGTCGACTTTAGAGCAGTATCAGAGAGATGCTACGGTAATCGAACAGAACATCACGAAGCTCTCTAGGCTTCTGCAGCAGATCGAAAGCAGCAATATTGTGATTGCGGAGGTAAGGAAATGGGAACGTGTTGTCTGATTATAAAAATCTGCACAATCTTTTATAGAGTGCCTGCGAGGCTTTGTCACCTAATGTTAAAAAGGACAGGAGGAAGTTTGGTCTGAAAAAGAAGAAATCGTCCAAAGGGGGCAGCGTCGATTTAACGATCCAGTTTGCTAACAAATCTAGTAGCGCGACCGACACCGATAATATTTCTCCGTTATCTGTAAGTCTGCTACTGTTTCACCAATCTGATTTTTGTACTTTTATAATTTTTTAAATCAGGCTAATTCCTTCTCTGCAATTTCTTCTTCACCGCAACTCAATGCCATAAATGCCTCCACTTTGCCCATACCGATCAACGCCACGTGCACGACTCCCACACCGGACAGCTTGAGCAACGTAGACGTGATCTCCCTCACCGTCGAGAACCAGATGAGGGACGACTTCTTAGCCATGGCCAAAACCGGTAAGGAGGGAACACTTTCAGATTTTCGTGCCAATCTCATAACCTGCGCATTTCAGTGCTGAGCAGTCTGAAGACGCTGACGTTTGGCCTAAGCACGGAACGGGAACGGCTCAAGTCTGCCTTAGAATCCGAGGTGCAAGTTCCTCCTAATGTTAGTAATCGAAACGTAGTCAATTTAAAAAATAATCTCAATCAAGTCCTTCAACAGAATACTGATTTGAGGAGCCGCCTGCTTAGGATCCACGAAGCCTCCGATTTGGCTGACTTGTCTTCTTTGGAACACTTGTCAGAAAACGTAAGTAGTTTTCAACATTTTTGCATGAGATTTAAAACTGAAACATTTGATGCTTAATCAATGGTCCTTCGAGCTGGATATTACAAAAATGGTCCTTCGAACTGGATAAATTAATTTCAATCTCATTCTATTTTTTAGTATCAATTCATTGTCTGTAATAATGAAAGTATAGTAGAATTAAGAAATTAGTGTTGAATATCATGAACATTGAAGTATTTAGATACTATACTATTACTAAACCTTTGTTCTCCGAATTTTTCGACTTATTTGTTTTTTACTCGCCAGCACGAATGTGCCCATATCGACAAGTATTTCTCTTGTTTTATTTTGTGTTTGGTTGACCGCTTGCTTTTCCTTTTCGGGACTTGTAGCAGCGCGTGCATAACGTCTCGCTGAGCTACAGCTCGTCTTGCGTGAGTGCCACTGAATTCTTCGATGCAGAGGATTTACCTGTCGATAAGCCGCCCGACTACAACGAGAGGGCCGAAGAGGAGTCTGAGGTGCGTACCCGCTCGGAGAGCAGTTCCGAGGCAGGCTCGCTTTCTAGCGGGGAAGGAAGCATCAGTTCGGAGTCGGAGCTGGGCGCAGAGCTGAATCCGGTGAACAGCTTAGAGGTCGGAGGTAAGTGTCTTGTACTTTTGGGGTGTCGTTTGTATGTTTGCGTTTCTTTTTCATAAATTGTAGAGTTGTTATTCGACTTCCTCTTCTTTTTATTTATAAATTTTCCAATTTATAAATGCCTCCCGCCATTTTTTTGATTCAGAAAATTACTGTTTATTTAATAAGTACTGTTCAAAAAATTTGTTTTATCTAGTAAGGCTTTTACGACGAAGATGTCCTATCGATATACGGTTAATGTTGGCAAAATGCTGTAGCTGCAGAAATATTATACACGAATCTTCTCCCACTTCGCCATGCGCTAAATGGTATAAAACTTGTAACAACTCATTTAAAGAACACACGATGCTGCTATACGTAATTTTTCTAATGCGGAATAAATAAAAAAATTTGTGTGACGTGCCCGTTTGGTCACCCTATCAAATAGTTTTTTTATGAATTAATTTGCAGACAGCCAAGGCTTGACGGGTCGTAGGACCGTCTTACCGGTGCCCCGTCCCATCACGGAGGGTCTGTCGCTGTGGAACCTCCTCAGCAGGAACATCGGGAAAGATCTCTCGCAGATCAGCATGCCGGTGGCTCTGAACGAACCCTTGAACGTCCTACAAAGGCTTTGCGAGGAACTGGAATATTCCGATCTGTTGGATAAAGCAGCTAGCATCGATGACCCGTACGAGCGAATGGTTGAAATTGCGGCTTTCGCCGTCTCCGCTTACGCAAGCACCCTGAGCCGGGCCGGCAATAAACCTTTCAATCCGCTGCTGGGGGAGACCTACGAGTGCATCAGGGAGGACAAGGGCTTCCGATTTTTAGCTGAGCAGGTGTCGCACCACCCACCCGTAGGGGCGTGCTATGCGGAGAGTTCTAACTTTACCTTCTGGCAGGAGGCCAGGGTGAAGACCAAGTTCTGGGGCAAGAGCATGGAGTTTCAGCCTCTTGGCAGCATCCACGTGTTGCTGCCGAAGACCGGTGATCTCTACACCTGGAATAAGGTGACGACGTGCGTGCATAACTTGTTCAGCGGCCAGAGGTGGGTCGATCAGTATGGGGAGCTGAAAATCAGCAATGGCAGGATTACTTGCAAGCTTACCTTCTCGAAGGCTAGTTATTGGTCAGCGAAACGACATGAGGTGAGTGATTATGTAATAAAAAATTAGTTTGAAGAAAAATTATGGTAATTTTTTGCATTTATTTATTACTTATTTTTATTGTCTAAATGACTGTGGAGTGTAATTAATTGAAATAAGTATATTTTTTTTTATCAAAATCCTAAATATATTATTAAAAATTCAGTAAAAGTGATGCAACGTTTATCTAGATCAAATAATTTATTTTATGATCTAATTTATTTTTCTTTCTCTTTTATATACCGGGTGACTCAAAGTAAGTGGTCTATTATGTCAGAACCTACTTTGATTTAATTTTTGAAAATTGGCACACTAGGGTTTTTGGGTGTGCTCTTTTCAAGTCTAATAATTTTGTTCCTATAACACTTCCGGTTATACCGGAAGTTGGCATCAATTTTGTTGTTTTGAATGGAACACTTATAGTTTGACATTTTTGGATTCTACGCTTCATTTTAAGGTGACTTTCATCAAGTTTCCCTATTCCTAAAATTATCCGTTTTCAAGATACAGTGAAAATTGGTTATAACAACATTGATTTAAACGACATATTGGATATAACGATGGAATTTGGAAGTCCCGATTAAATCCTATAGAAATACCATATTAAAAATATCGTTTACTACGACACCGTTTTCAACGACATTTCAGATTTAGCGACGCGTTTGTGTATACATTTACCATAAAATCTATTGGTTATAACGACCAACAGTGATATACGGCCTTAAAACGAATGCCCCGCTCTTCCGCTCGCCCCGCCGGCATCCACGCTTTTGACACCTGTTAGTACGTTTGGAACAAATTACGGTGGTTGCTGAAGTTATTTTGAGAAAAATAGTTCATATAAGTTCGTGTCAATATCTTTAAAACTTTTTGAAATAATTAAGAATAATTAATAAAAAAATAAAATTTAAAAACTGTATCTCGGAAACGAAGCATATTTCAACCTACGTTTGTATAAATTAAAAATCAGAACAAACTTTAAAGCTGTGCACATTCGACAGACAGATAAAGCAACGATATTTGTAGGAGCAGGAGCTAAATACCTAAGCTGCATCATCATATCCTCAGTGTTACCGAATCTTATACAGGGTGGTGATTATTCAATACCGAGTTTGGTCCACTAGAAGCCATCTAAGCTTGATTGTCTGTAATGGAACACCCTGTATATTTTTTCAGATTTGAATGTGCCCTTTTCTCTTTCTATCCATACTATGGTTTCCTATACTTATCTCTTCTAGGTTTCATGTTCCTTTTAAAATAACAAAGTTGACGCCTGACATTCTGATATAACCAGAAGTATTACAAGAACAAAATTATTCCACATATTTGAAAAGTGCACACACAAAAACCCTGGTGTGCCTGTTGGGATTATGGGTAGAACTAAAACACTTTAATAATTATTAAAAGATATCGTTTATTCACTTATTCAGATATCACATTTATTCTGTGTCGAATCAGATTGAAAACTAAAAATTCTCTCTTAAGCTTAGCGCTACAATATACCTCTGTACTTGAGTATCTTTCAACAGTGCCAACTTTCAAAATTTAAATCGAAGTAGGCTGTGAAATAATTTAATAGGCCACCCGGTATAAGAGGCAATTCTTTATTTTACCTTTAAATTTTGAATGCATGTTAAAGCTTTCATTTTTAACAGATCTGTTAAATATTAATTATGAATTTCTATTCTGTATGTAAAAATTGAAGGTGGTCATTAAAGACAAAATAATTTTTGCAGGATGTTAAAAAATCTGATGGAGTAGTTCATATGTCTTAGTTTTCGTCGTAGATTTTGTGTGCGTATACCAAATCTAAAAATAATTTTTAGATTAAAAAAAAACGTGGGAAAACATCAGTTTTTAATTCTTTCCGATTTTAAATCGTGGTCCATTTGTTTTTAACTTGTTGAGTTGATGTTTTCTTAAGCCGAAAATTCCAAGTATTTNTTATATATATTTTATTGCTTAAATTAAAATAAAGAATAGGGAATTTTATTATGATTGCAATCGGATCAAAGGCTTGTTTATGCTACGAGAGCTCAAGATAGACTGTGAATAATAGATGTAATGTTTTTAGGACATAGAATAATTTAGGCGACGGTCGGAATTATGTTTCTGCGCATATGAAGGCCAAAGCTCATAAGATTTTAAAACAACTCTAAAACATGGAAGATACACCGACAAAAAAATTGAGAACTGTTGATTATTAAAAAATGGAAACTGATATTTTTGCATCTAGAGATTATGTCAATTATACTCGAAAAATCTCAAAATATTCGAAATTTTTTGGTCAAAATTTAGTATGAGTAACGTTATTTTAAGTTTTTTTTTTAGTGTCACATGAAATACAGGGTGTAACGTTAAGTGGGGATCAGTTTTTTAGGGATTATAGTACATGTTCCTCTGAATACGAATCTGAAATTCTTTTTTTTTTTAATCAAATAAATAATCGAGTTATAATTAGTTTCTTAAAATGCACTTTAATATTTGTGTATGCCGGCACTGTAATATTCATATATTACAAATTCACAGACAAATTGTAGGCAACCTACAGTACATGTGAAAGGAGATAGTGCAGGTTAACGGTGACGAAGTGAAGGGCGTCAATTGTTGTTTCGTATTTGGAGACAGTACATATCTATCTCTGAATTTGAATGTTTTTCATTGTTGGAAGCCATCAATAGACTATTTATTTTTGTGTATTTCATTTATCATTATTGATTACCGCTTGATTTTGCTAGGTTACTTGTGAGGTATTGTTTGTGTGGCGAACACCCACTCAACAAAAGTAACTAGTGGGGAATGGTATGGAATTTTGCATGCGCTGAGACGAAAGCACGCCTTTATTTGTGGTTACACTAGCTTCTCCAGCGGCGGGGTACTAAAATTACTAAAAGAAGGTTAAAAAAAATTAAGTTTTTATGACAAAATTTGAAAAAATAAACTATTGATACGTGTGTCTAAAGGTCAAAGGAAACCTCTATTTAAATATGACCCCCACTCAAGTTACACCGTGTATATAGAAAATGAAATGGCAGTCAGACTTTTAAAAAATCAATTAATATGTTTTGTACAGGGTGTTCGTGTGAACTTAGAACACCTTAAGGTGGCCATATTCCTGGCCGAGAAATAGTGAAATTTCTGACATTTCTAGGTACTGAAATCTTTAAAAGTAAAACGTGTAGAACAAAAGTAAGCACAANAAAACATCAGTTTTTAATTCTTTCCGATTTTAAATTGTGGTCCATTTGTTTTTAACTTGTTGAGTTGATGTTTTCTTAAGCCAAAAATTCCAAGTATTTTCTCAAAAATTTGTTTTAATTTTGGCTTGTTAAAATCTCCCAAAAATTATTAGTTTTTTTTTTTCGTGAAGCAAATACAGTATTTCCCATTTGGTACAAACTTTATAACAGTTAGTATATAATTTTTCAAAATAATTATACTTTGTTAAAACATGGAAGAAACACTGACAAAAAAATAGAGAATGGGTGGTTATTAAAAAATGGAAACTGATATTTTTGCATCTAGAGATTAAATCAATTATACTCGAAAAATCTCAAAATATTTAAAATTATTTGGTCAAAATTTAGTATGAGTAATGTTATTTTAAGTTTTTTTTTTTAGTGTCACATGAAATACAGGGTGTAACGTTAAGTTGGAGGTCAGTTTTTTAGGGATTTTAGGGATTTAGGGTACATGTTCCTCTGAATACGAATCTGAAATTCTTTTTTTTTAATCAAATAAATAATCCAGTTATAATTAGTTTCTTAAAATGCACTTTAATATTTCTGTACGCTGCCACTGTAATATTCATATATTACAAATACACAAATTGTAGGCAACCTACAGTGCATGTGAAGGGAGATAGTATGGGTCAACGGTGACGAACTGAAGGGTGTCAGTTGTTGTTCCGTATTTGGAGGCTACATCTATCCATGAATTTGAATGTTTTTCATCACTGGAAGCCATCAATAGACTATTTATTTTTGTGTATTTCATATATCATTATTGATTACTGTTTGATTTTGTTGGGTTAGGAATTTTGCATGTGCTGAGACGCGCCATTACTTGAAGTTACACTAGCTTTTCCAGCGGCGGGGTACTAAAATTACTAAAAAAAGGTTAAAAAAAATATAAGTGTTTACGACAGAATTTGAAAAAATAAACTATTGATACGTGTTTCTAAAGGTCAAAAGAAGCCCCTATATAAATATGACCCCCACTGAAAGTTACACCCTGTATATAGAAAATGGCAGTCAGACTTTTAAAAAATCTATTAATATGTTTTGTACAGGGTGTTTTTAGAATTTCATGTTTCCCTTTATTAGAAAAAAATAATACATTTTAGGTCGTTGGTGCTGTTTTCGACGAATCCGGCAAACCAGTCAGGCGTTTATTTGGTAAGTGGTCAGAGTCCCTCTATTGCGGAGTGGCTCCGTCGGCCAGATGCATTTGGCGTGCCGGTACCCTACCACCCAACCACGAACGGTACTATGGCTTCACCCGTTTCGCCGTAGAATTGAACGAGTTGGATCCGGATTCTTATTTGTTGCCACCGACAGATACCAGGCTTAGGCCCGATCAAAGGGCTTTGGAGGAGGGGGACCTCACTACGGCGGAGAACCTAAAATTGCAATTAGAGATGGCTCAGAGGGAGAGGAGAAAACGTCGCGAGGAGTTAGGTCTGACGTACGAGCCTAGATGGTTCTCTAGTCCCCAGGACGACGTCTGGGAGTACAATGGCAAGTACTGGGACATGAGGAGGAACCCAGGCTTCTCGAATATGCAGTTTGAGTCCTTATGGTGACTTGTGATCAACTTTACATTCTGCGATACGCGTAAATGTTTTTAGGACTATTTTTATGCAATTGCCCGGTGATGTGTATATTTCGTTCATGCTGTTTTAGGTTAAGTAGTCATTTTTAAAGGTTCCATTGAGTTTTTAAGTCCATTCTAATGCCATGCTTGAGTATTCGGTGATACATATTGGCGGTAGAGATCTTGTTCACATTATATTTAACGGAGAGTTTATTAGGAAAGTGAAATCATGTCTACATTAGGCAAGCGATACAAATTATACCGGTGTTAATGTTTAAAAATTATGTTGTTTAGAAATTCGAATGAAGGGCTAATAGCTAATAGAAAGAATATTAACCAATTAATGTGATATCATTTTGTGTTGTAATTTTAGTAGCTTAGCTATATAAAAACAGTATTGGCTATATATAAAATTATATATGCTTTTTTTTTAAGTCAATATACATTATTTTGGGGTCTAGATTGACATCAGTGGTGCTGTTATATATACAGGGTGGGTGGCTAAAAAAAAATGATTATTTTTTTTTCGTGTCTTGTGAAAATATGTTAGTTTATCATGTTTTAAGAACCCCATCAAAAAATCGGCTCAAAAGAGGTCACTCAAGATTTTTAAAAATTTCCAAAATCGTCAAAAATTGAATCTTTTTTCGCGTTATTTTATCATTTTCTAGGTTCTGAAAATTTCAGATCGATATTTTAATTTCTAAAGGTCACTCATAATTATTTTAATTTCCGAAGTAGTGTACTTACCTATGTTTTCGAGCGACCTCTAAAAAATAAATATCAACGAACTAATAATTATTTCTATTGAATTTGATGAACAAAAGTATAGAAATAAATCACGAGACACTTAAATTTTAAAAAATTAAAAAATTATAAATGTTTGATGCAGTGCGGTAATAAATTTTGCTTCGAGAAATTTTTTAAGTGTCTCGTGATTTATTTCTATTCATTTGTCATCAAATTCAATAAAAAAAAATGATTAGTTCGTTGATATTTATTTTTAGAGGTCGCTGGAAAACATTTTAGGTACACTATTAAAGTTAAAATAATTATGAGTGACCTTTAGAAATTAAAATATCGATTTGAAATATTCAGAATCGAGATTTTTTGCAACCTAGAAAATGATAAAATAACGAGAAAAAAAATTTAAAGAAAAAATTATATTTTTGACGATTTTGGAAATTTTTAAAAATCTTGAGCGACCTCTAAAAAAATTTGTTTGAGCTAATTTTTTGAGGGGGTTCTTAAAACTTGATAAACTAACATATTTTCACAAGAGACAAGAAAAAAAATATTCGTTTTTTTTGGGCCACACGGTTTTAAAAATGAAGCAGCATTTTTCTCATCCAAATTTAAGAATGCTTTATTCTATAAACACTTGCTTTTTGAAGGAAGATAATAAAATGGAATTTTGTGTTCACAGTGCATGAATAAAATGATATTCAATGTGAAAAAAAAATCATTCTCAGTTCAAACCGATTACATAGATGCCAAGTATATTGGTTACATTTTCTTCAAAAATTATATGCCAATTAGAAGAAATATTTTTGAAGTATCAATTTTATTTTGAACTTGACCTTTTTTGCCGTTTTGGTAGAAATAAGCAATTTGGAACGGTAATAATGTTTAGAAAAATTTACCGTTGTACAGGGTGTTATACGACAACATGTAAAAAACGGAGTATTTTCGTTGCCTACATTTACAAATATTTTTTATATAACATTTGCTCTTGAAGCGTTCGTTTATNATTAGTTCGTTGATATTTATTTTTAGAGGTCGCTGGAAAACATTTTAGGTACACTATTAAAGTTAAAATAATTATGAGTGACCTTTAGAAATTAAAATATCGATTTGAAATTTTCAGAATCGAGATTTTTTGCAACCTAGAAAATGATAAAATAACGAGAAAAAAAATTTAAAGAAAAAATTCTATTTTTGACGATTTTGGAAATTTTTAAAAATCTTGAGCGACCTCTAAAAAAATTTGTTTGAGCTAATTTTTTGAGGGGGTTCTTAAAACTTGATAAACTAACATATTTTCACAAGAGACAAGAAAAAAAATATTCGTTTTTTTTGGGCCACACGGTTTTAAAAATGAAGCAGCATTTTTCTCATCCAAATTTAAGAATGCTTTATTCTATAAACACTTGCTTTTTGAAGGAAGATAATAAAATGGAATTTTGTGTTCACAGTGCATGAATAAAATGATATTCAATGTGAAAAAAAAATCATTCTCAGTTCAAACCGATTACATAGATGCCAAGTATATTGGTTACATTTTCTTCAAAAATTATATGCCAATTAGAAGAAATATTTTTGAAGTATCAATTTTATTTTGAACTTGACCTTTTTTGCCGTTTTGGTAGAAATAAGCAATTTGGAACGGTAATAATGTTTAGAAAAATTTACCGTTGTACAGGGTGTTATATGACAACATGTAAAAAACGGAGTATTTTCGTTGCCTACATTTACAAATATTTTTTATATAACATATGCTCTTGAAGCGTTCGTTTATGAGATACAGGGTGTTAAACTGTAAAAAGTCAGCGAATCCATCAGAAGATATATCAAAAATTGTATTGAAGTGCATAAATGTCATTTTTAATAGTATTTGCATTCCAAAACGGAAAACAAAATCCAAAGGAAAATATTACTAACACACACCACTGAGTTAAGACTTAAATTTTTCGCATTGAATACAATTTTCATGGATTGTGCACACATAATTTCAAAAAATGTAGAAATACACATTTTTCTTTTAATTTTCAAACCGAATAACGGGCTTCGAGGGTAAATGTTTATACCGGCTGTCCCATTTTAATTGATACCCGTAAATATCTCGTCAGAGAAGCCATCAATCGAAAAATGGCCTAGAGGAAAAGTTGTTCACTTCATTGGGGGAAACCAGCATTGCTGCTTACCTAAGATTAGACCTTGACCTCACCTTGACCTTTTGAGGGTCAATTGAAGGTCAAATTGGGGTCAAGGTCATAACGAGTTTAAATGACACCCTTAAAGCAGCCTCGGAATAAGATGTTGACCTCCAGAATCGATGGGATTTACATCAATGTACTCAATCAGGACCTTCGATTCGTCCTTAACTTCCACTTTGTCAAGGTCATTTGAAGGTCGACTATAGCAATTGTAGGAAAAAATAATGCTACGAACGAGTGAGGGGAGAATGATAAAAATATCTTGTTACTCAACGAAGGTATAACTTCCATTGAGAATTGAAAAAAGNCTTCGATTCGTCCTTAACTTCCACTTTGTCAAGGTCATTTGAAGGTCGACTATAGCAATTGTAGGAAAAAATAATGCTACGAACGAGTGAGGGGAGAATGATAAAAATATCTTGTTACTCAACGAAGGTATAACTTCCATTGAGAATTGAAAAAAGAGCTATATGGGTACGTTACAAAGTAAAACTGACTGACGGTGAAAAATTGAGAAAAAATTAAAATATCACACCACTATTTGTGGGCCATTGAATTATGTTGTCATTACGTTAGTATTCTGGATTTAAATCTTCAGTTCATCTTGAAATGAACTTTTTTTTAATCCCTTATTTTGCAGCGTACTTGGATACAAATTTACCGTTTTCCCAAGATCTGATCTAAGTAATACACGGCCGGGCAGAAAACAAAACAAAGTTAACCTTCAAATTCAATCCCGAACATCTTTCGCAATGTTTGTTGAGGTGAAGGTCGATTTTTATTGTCGCCCTTCAAATGACCTTGACAAAGTGGAGGTCAAGGACGAATCGAAGGTCGTGATTGAGTACCTTGATGTAAATGCCATCGTTTCTGGAGCTCAACATCTTATTCCGAGACTGCTTCAAGGGTAATGAATCATTTAAACCCGTTGTGACCTTGATCTCAAAGTCAAAGTTGTGATCACATCCGGATGTAAAATTTTCTGCTGAATCCATTACCAAGGTTAAAAATAGGAGATCCCTTTTAAAATTCCGAAGAAAAATATCCTTAAATTTGAGGGCAGAATTTGCACCTTGGTTTTTTACATGATCTATTGTCACACCCTGTATCTCATAAATTATATTTGAAAATATTTAAGGTATTGTTAGAAGCAGCAATTTTTTTTTATGAAAATTTGTTGCATTAGAGAAATTTTATTTTTAGGCAAACATGGCATTAGTGAAAAGTGTGTTTTTATTGAAAATTTTTTAAATAATTTATCAAAAAATTCAAGTACGTTTTTATATCTTAACTATATTACGTTTGTTTACTCGATTTTTATACTTGTAGGTAGTCCAAAACTGTAAAGCAGTACCTTTGCGATACAATTCGGTGGATAATTCTTAGATTTTATTCTTCAGAAAAAAATTCAAGCTGTGTGCTTATCTATTATATGTCAGATACGGTTAACGTAACGGTAAATCGAAACGATAAATGCTTGTATATTTTGTTGAGACCCGTTTCTTAAATTAGTCGTCACGATAGGAATCCTATTTATTTAATTTAAACGTGTAATTGTACTCCTGTCTTGCTTTGATTACCTTTGAACGACTGCTGCCCTCTTGGAATTGTAATGATAACTATTATTAATTGAATTGAAATAAAAGAAGTACCATATTTTTGTCGGGTTTTCGACTGACTCTCAAGAAGCTACCTTCGCGTTAACTGATATCTGGTCTTGTTACAAAATATATTATCTTGAAATAGCATGTATCTTTAAAAGAATATTCCAACCAGCCTCCTTCAATCAAATATTTATATTGTAAAGGATCTATATACGTAGTGTTAGGAAAAAGCAAAGTAAAAAGATATAAGATTATTATAAAGAGGAAAACAGTTTTCTGTCTAGTCACTATTGATAAAAAATATTGTTGATTGTTGTAACTTAATATTTATTGATGGTTTTTAACAAAAAGAAACCATGAAGTTCGGTTTGGGATATTTCCGTTTCTGTTCCGAAGGTTTTAAAGATATCGATATCTCGTTTTGCCCATAAAATAAATTCTTGAATGTTTATCCAACAGCCTTTTTATTCCGTGCTCTCTCAGCCTAGGGATTGTCGAGAGTTTTTTGAAAGACTTGTAGAAGTAGAGTTATTTATAGGGATATGTTCCGTTTTTACAGAGGTTTTGAAAAATTGAAAAATTTGTAAATTGTTGGTATTGCTGGTTGTTATTAGTAAATAAATGGAAAAACAGCCCACAAACAATAAATTTTTTCTACTTTTATTACTGTTTTGGATTATAGTTAAATAAAGGTCACTGTTACGAAACGTTCGTAGATATTCGACTTATAAACATGGGTGTTTGTTCCTCCACTCTGCCACTGTGGGAAATTTATTGTTTCTGGAAGTTCAAAAGTCCGTGAATAAGTGACAATAATATTTAATCACTACAACGCCAATTATTTCCTAATCCCATTATTTTTCAAAAGTGTTACGCTGTTCTTCACTTTTACTTTAGACATTTATCTATGTAAAATATCATTTTTTAATCAAGAAAAAGCTCTTTTAAGGTGAAGGTTAAAATAAAAATTATACAGTTTGACGTGTTTTTATTTACATGCTGCATTTTACAATTTTTTACGTAGTGTAGTATTGGTTGTTGAAATTGATGCAGTCTCATTTTGATAATGAAGAATGGGGTTCATACCAGCGGTATACTCAAAAAAACTGACCGAAAACTTATGGGACATATGAAGGCATTAGTATATTCCCAGGTTATTGATAGTCGAAAAAGCTTAGAGCGAGAGATACTTGAGGCAGGTTAAATTATTCGACAAAACATACGTATCCCTTATAGAGTGCATCGTAATATGCATCGTCGATCTGAAGCATGCATTTTGCAGGTGGAGACCATTTTCAACATCTTTGTATGTACATTGAAGTCAAGATACAAGGGTTTGATACAAAATGTTTGTTTCTTTAAAAATTATATGCACGAGTTTTAAAAGTCGTCAATAGCTCGAAAATCGCTAAATGACAAATGTGCAAGAGGCCTTTTTGCTCTAAAATAAATGAGGTCCCTAAAAATAAAGTAAAAACCAGTGGCGTAGATCTATGCCCTTGATGGGTCTGAAATGCAGTCGATTATACCAAGTTATAACCTATGTTTCATAAATGATAAATGTATTGACCCAAATTTAAACGATTTCCAATGAAGAATTTAGAAATTATCAATAAAAAACATTCTTATTTATTTTTTTTGACATTCTCTATTTCGAAAACGAAGCATTTGCGGACCTACGTTTATAAGAATTTTGTTTGTATTTGTGGATGTAGAATTACTCTAGAATTCTCTAAACAATATTTTGCAACACCCTGTATAGTGTATATAGATGCAATCTAAATGGTTAGTTATTCATCACAAATCTAGATGGCGTAGTTGTAATCTGTCAAATACGCAAAATGGCGATTGGCGCATATTCCTAGATAAATGATACTAGGTCGATTTTACAGCAGATCCACTATCCAGTCCAGCAGACTTTTACCCAATGAAAAATTTATTTATTGATCCTTTGGAACTTAAAAAAAATTTGTGATATTTTTTGTATATAGTCATGAAGGCCCGAAAAGTTACTTATTTATTATTTTTTTTTGAAAAGCGATAGTCAACTTTTTGTTTTCAAATGTCAATATAGATTTTTATTTATTTATTATTGTACATGTTTTTATTCAAAATTCAACGATCTATATAAAGTTTACTTTTGTGAAACATGTATTACAGAAACAGAGTATGAAAATATTTGACAACAAACGTATTTTGACTAATGCCTGGAAAATAAAAAATAAAATAATACAACAAAGCAAGTAAATGTCATTTAAGCGTTCATGTACCAGTTTTTTACGCATTATACCCTTTCTGTGTCAGTTACAGTAGGTTATTTATTAAAATAAGCTCAACAATGCAAAATGTGAGTAATAATCAATTGACGGACATGATTCAGGTTTACTTTCGGTGTAATAAAAATTGTGGTTCAGGAATCTGACTACAGAGAACTATTTCCTCGCAGAGAAGTTCCAGAACCACGTAGATTTGTAAGACTTGAAGAAAATTTAAGAAACTATGGTGCTTTTAAGAAACCAAAGCGAGAGACGAGAACGCCAATTTAATGAAAACATCTAGTTCAATGTTCTTAACGTTGAAGAAAACCCAAGAACTTCCATTAATATTAGAACATCAAAGGGAACTAACTGTACATGAAGTATTGGAAATGCACAGATTCAAGCCATACATTCCTTAAAAAGTACAGGCAATAGAGGACGGCTACAATTTGTTTCTTTAGTTGTTTGTGTTTGTTGTTCTTCGTTTAATGTATTTTGTGTTTAATTAATGTTATTTTGTGTTGAACTTTGTATATTGGTTAATGTATTTAATGAAATTGTTTTTCTTTTAATTGATATTCATTGTATTGTTTCTTTTCTGTTAACTACAAAATTATCTTTTCTTCGTCTCTTCTGTAATAAATGCTTTACAAAAGTCAAGTTCATATACATCGTTGGATTCAGAAAATAAATCTGCACAATAATAAATAACAAAAAAACTATATTGCCATTTAAAAGAAAAAAGTTAACTATCTTAAAAAAAATAGTAAATAAGCTCTAATAAGCTCCCTTTATAGCGTATTTAGAGCCATTTCATTAAATTTTTTGTTTTTTACAATAACGGAGTTATGGCTTGTGGCGTTTTTTAGGAGACGGCCTGTATAAAGCCGATAGTCGAGGTTTTTGGTATTCATCTTTAGGCATTTTCAAAGCCTAGATATTAAGTTTATATAAAATATATTTTACATTCTAAATCGACAAAATTTAAGATACTTAGCTAATTGTAAGTACGTAGTCAGATTTTTTATGAAAAAATAGCTTCTAAAAGGAATTGCAGCAGACCATGATTTACAGCTTTTGCTTAGTTCAGCAAATAAATACAGAAACTTATTACCTATATAAAAAAATCATTGGAATCATGCTCTGCAAAAACATCTACAAGAATGTTGTGATTCTTGAAGCGCCACACCCTATTTTAATTTTGTATTTTGCTAATTTTATCTGAAATTTTCATGAAAGCTCTGTAAGTGGACTTGGTAAACTACCCTAAAAAATGAAACGAGTTCTTTATCAAAATATACGATAGCTTATATTCTCACCATCCTGGAAAAGCACGAGTGATAGAAAGCCCTTGAATGAGTATAAAACTTTATTCACTTAGAGTACAAACGCATAACACTAAAATACGTCTAAAATAGATATTAAATAATCATATGAACAGATATAAAAACAACTACATAATTTAAAAACGTTAAACTATCCATTATTATTTAAAGATATATAAGAATAAAAAAAAGATAAACATTCTCGAGAGATAGAGATACTCTAACTAGGCACTGCGCACTTGATAAATATTTTTATAATTATTTATTAGTGCTTCGTAGGATATAGGAGTTCACCTTACAATATATAATACGTAACCTATATATTTAAGTTCTAAAAAGTAGCTAGATTTGGTTCGAAATACTACAGGGTACAGGGTCAGTTATGAGAAGCTATACGAGTGGAATTTTCAAGAAAGAAACAAAAATTACGTAAACACCCCAATTAAAATTATCCATCCACTTTAGAAACTAGTGATCAATTCCTTACTCCTCCTAGTTTTACCAAGAAGGTCGGTAAATGCGTAATTTTTGGTTGCGTATCTGAGATTTTTAAAAGTTTAAGCTTTTCCGTTTGGAGTTGGGTTTCCGTTCATCAGTGGGGTTGAGTTTCCATTTTGGATGGGGGTTGAAGTTCCATTCATTTTGGCAAATCCATTCTGTACAGGTTTGGTGGGGGTGGTGATGGGGCTGACTATTGTGTATGTCTCTCCAGTGACGGGATTACGTTCTGAAAGAACGGGATTACATTTAATGAAGAAGGTAGTTCTCTTGAATCAGTTTTGGTGGCAAATGTTTACTTTGTATATTCCATACCTGTATGTATCCTAGGAGAACTGTTACGACTGGAGGGCCTATCGTCCCAAGAAGTTACCCCATTTCCAGTTACGGGATTGCGATTTGTTACATCTGCAGATATTAGAAATAGATTAATATTAATTGGTACACATTAAAAATAATTTTCTTCCAACTACCACCATTAATTGAAAGTGACAGTGATTCAACAATACTTAGAGTTAGGTTTAGATACTTCTAGCGGTTGTCAATTACATATAATGCAAAACCCCATTGATATTCTACTAAATAATTCAATGAAAAGGTTTAGATTTTCTGGACAAAAATAAAAGTGCCCCAAATCTAAGTTGAATATAAAAGAAAGACCGTGGTTGTAATGTTGCATGGAAGATCTATAATTTTTTTAATCGCTTTTTTGAACAAATAAATATTAAAATTTTTAAAGTTTTCAATGTATACAATCGGTTTTACAATCCAAATTAATTTAAAAGACGTACCTAAATGCCAAAGTATAATTAAAAGTTGTTTTTTTTTTTATTAGAACCAATGTATAAACTTTAACCTGATTTATAGTCCATTTAAAGTCTTTAGCAACTACCTGTACGATCTGACAACTTCAAACCCCGATATTTCAAGAACCGTTGGGAATTCGGGAAAAGTGAATAGAATAATTTATGCTTAAAATTAGTCATAGAAGGATTCATATACCTCAATCATTGGATAAACAATTACAACAAACCAGTTACAACAATTGTTCAAAATTTCCAATGTCTGCTGTTAAACGTGCTTCACCACGTTGTGCTACTGCTCGAATGGAATTGCGTATCATTTCTGCTGTTATTTGCTGTATTGATTAAAATAGGTGGTTCTCCAATTCATACAAATTTGCCACTGTACAACAACGTTTTTAGGAAAAGAAAAAATCACAGGGCGTTAGGTCTGGAGAACGAGGTGGCCAAGCCAACGTCTAGGGAAAATATTATTTAGATAATCACAATGTGCTCAAGCATGTTTAGCAGCAGACGGTGGAAATTTTGAATAACTTGTTTGTCATAATTGTTTATCAATTGATTAAAAATTGAAAATTTTCATTATTTTTGGATATTTAAAACTGCCGTATCTCGAAAAATGTCGGTCTGATTGAAAAATGATACGAGATATTTTTTATGACCTTATCTAACTTAACATGATTCCACAGTCCGTGTTCGCGAATTTTATAACACCCTGTATAAGACCAGTATACATACAACCAATGTGTCTTAGAGTTGTAGCGGTGCCATTTGTTCAAAAATTTCCTTTAATAGTAAAAATGACTATTGTTTTATCACATTAGAGGTAATAAATTAACAAAATAAAAAAAAACAAAAACTTTTTTTGTAAAAATCAGTTTAGCACATTCATTCAGAAAACACAAAATAGACGATAAAACTAACACACTTTCTAATGGGAAATTGTTGAACTAGATATGGCAATATTGTTCTGCATTTTATTAGGTTGTTCCTACTTATTTCAAAGCAGATCTTGTAAAATGTATCAACAGAGTATTGAGTATGTGAAATCATTTACTAACTAAGCGAATTTTCAAAAACTTACCTTGGTTAGTTAAGGAACCCCTCCTAGGTGTGATTTTCTTCATTTCGGGAGTTCCAAAAAGCCTATTGAAAGAGTCGACATGCTGGGAAGACCTTCTGGGTGTGTAGCTATGATGTCCATTAGTTTTTCCTGCTGATGGTGGAGTGCAAATAACGTTTAGAATTTCGCTAGATGGGTTGCGTACTCTGAAAATAAAGAATATGGTTCAGACAAACGCTTAGTACACAAGTTACCTGTCTAAAGTTAGTAATACCACGTTTAAGCAATATGACTGTGGAAAAGTATATTGTTATATTCTATTAAATATTAAGTAATAACATGATTAACATAGCGTACATACATATCATTTGCCGCCAGAAAAAAAAATCGGTAACGGTTAACACCACTTTTCCTGGTAAAGGAAACCGGCAATTATGTTTTTTATACCGATTCCTCGACTATGAATCACTTAAGGTGCAATTAATATTCAATTTTGCAATATGTTCCATAATTAGTGCAATTTATTTTTAAGTGCAAACCAGAACCAGCAACGAGTGAAACGGTATCTCGCAAGGGAGTAGTAATAACTATAATTGCCCCATTGGGAAGAGAAATATAAGTAATTATATACTTGTGAATACAAATATGTAAAATATGTATGGATATTTTATATTTTTTGTATAACGTGCAGGCAAAACAAGAATTTATTTTTCAATTTTCAGCTTTTAGAACACTTATTAAATCTAGGCATATTCGTATTATAATTATGGCAAAAAGTCTATTCTCAGAAAAAATAGAATACCAGTCCTAGAAGAAAAATTGGAAGAATTATATTAATATTTAATCATCAATGTGAACGAACCGCCAAAAAATCTGTTTCATAAGTACAAACACAAGAGAGCGCTAGCGACGCGTTCTTCTAGCATGCCTAGGGGGTTGTCTATCTATATCTTCCTTTAGCCGAGGTAACAAAAGTGAAAAAGTGTGAGGACTAGCCAATAAAAACCTAGTGAGTGTAATAGTTTATGATTGATTAGTGACGTAAGTCAAGGAGGGGAAGAATAAGAACTGTCATGAGTGATACATACGTACCACACAAGTCTGTAAAACCAATCGGAGCGTGGCGAAATCCAAATGATTTTGTTTTGTTTTGATGTTAGAATCCACGCTTCTGCTCACCGTAGAGATGGGTNATAACTATAATTGCCCAATTGGGAAGAGAAATATAAGTAATTATATACTTGTGAATACAAATATGTAAAATATGTATGGATATTTTATATTTTTTGTATAACGTGCAGGCAAAACAAGAATTTATTTTTCAATTTTCAGCTTTTAGAACACTTATTAAATCTAGGCATATTCGTATTATAATTATGGCAAAAAGTCTATTCTCAGAAAAAATAGAATACCAGTCCTAGAAGAAAAATTGGAAGAATTATATTAATATTTAATCATCAATGTGAACGAACCGCCAAAAAATCTGTTTCATGAGTACAAACACAAGAGAGCGCTAGCGACGCGTTCTTCTAGCATGCCTAGGGGGTTGTCTATCTATATCTTCCTTTAGCCGAGGTAACAAAAGTGAAAAAGTGTGAGGACTAGCCAATAAAAACCTAGTGAGTGTAATAGTTTATGATTGATTAGTGACGTAAGTCAAGGAGGGGAAGAATAAGAACTGTCATGAGTGATACATACGTACCACACAAGTCTGTAAAACCAATCGGAGCGTGGCGAAATCCAAATGATTTTGTTTTGTTTTGATGTTAGAATCCACGCTTCTGCTCACCGTAGAGATGGGTAACGCAGCAAAATTTCCTGCGTTGATACACTAACTCAAGCGCACACTAGTGCGTTAACTCAATTGCGTTAACGCAATAATAATTTTGGTATCAGCGCAGTGGCGCAGGCCATTGCTTCAGCGCAATAACGCAACGCAGTACTGAGTTACCCATCTCTAGCTCACCGTGTCATTTGCGGTTGCACGAAGCCGAAGTGAACAGAGCATTAACGCAGGTAATACACCTGGCCACTTATTCAGTTTTTATACATCGTGTGCAATTAGTAACAATGAACGAGTAGAAAGAAAGAAGAGCTGCGCTCTAATGCAAACCGCATGTACGGCTGGCACAAGAGGGTAATTACGTATATACGGTGAGTATCTGGTCAGTAAATTCTAACATGGGTATTGGTTTACCATTAATGAAGATTTGAGTTATATTCTTGGGTTTTCTATGCTCCTTCGCCTCAGTTTCAAATTTCGTCCCATTTAGACTCTATAAGTAAAGTGAGGTTATAAATTATTAGAAATAATTCTAATTGGAAACAATTGATATAGCCGATTACAAAGCCGTGTGTTAATCTGACACTAGAATAACGAAATCATTAGTGGTCATTGTCAAGTCAATATACCATTGATTGTATAGATCCTGCTAGTTTTATTCCTAAACTGTTCCGTATCCGCCACTGATTGGAGTGACAATCCTCCTTGACGCTAACGGTCCCAACGGAGTTATGGCTTCACGAAGAACGGCATTAGTGTAAATAATTATGTAAGTAGCGGAAATGCAAGCAAGACTGAGTTCGTTATGAATGGATTACAAGAATTTACAACTAAGGAGTCACAGTCGAGCTGTAAAGCGATGTAATTAGCACATCCAGGGGATACGCGGCTTGACGATGAAAATATGTTGCAAGACTGCCTTTGAGGTACCTGTAAGACAACTATAAATTGTTAGGTCGCTAACTACTGGTAATAGGCCTGTTTATCAATAAAGAGGGAAGAAAAACAAACCTGTTAGTCTACAAAAACAGGTACTTTGTGAACATTAGTTATCAATAGAGCTGTCATAATTGGCCGCGCAGCAAAGGCGTGCGGTGCGGATTTTCAACATAAAATAACAATGATTTATGTCATTGTATCATTGTGAAACATGTAAATTGTTTTACGCATCGTTGCCATCGGTTCCACAATCTGGATGGAATCTGTTATAGATCGCATCATCAGGTATGTTTCTACCCTTGGTTCAGCCAAACTTATTCGCGGCGGTGATAAAATACCTTAATCTGAAGAGAACGAAGAATATTGCATGTGACGTAATAGAAAAGATACAGCGGTTTTACTGTAGATATTGTTTATCCAAATTAGAGAATACAAATCTTAAGAACTGTTTATGTGACGTCGTCTAATAAAGGGACGGCTTGATAAATCACTGGCATTAGCATAAAGTTATTTAAATTTACTAAGAATATAAAAACATTAATTGTATGAAAAAGTATTTCCTCCTAGAACTAATAAATGCATACATACGTATATAAATCATCGAACCGACACTATTTTTTTCGGAAGTGTGCAATAAACAACAGCATCGTTCCCTTCCCTTTTCCTTTATGGTGGTAATGACGCGTGGTCTTTATTTGTTCGCATTACCTGCTACATAATAACAATGAATAACTGGACTATGAAATATAATGTTCATTCAGCGTTAGTAACTCGTGTATGTTGGATCCATTTACTTTTTAGGTACCTAAATATAATTTTCCGCCGTATGGTTTTGTGTGAAGCACCATGAAATCGTCGTTATTAATCATGAGAGTATCGAGCAAAAGTTGTATATCTGTTTAAAGACGCCGAAAGACGTAGGTACAGGTGACAGGACCACAGTTATAGTGAAATCTGATTTTTTTAAATAAAAAATGTGGATTATGTTTAAAAAATCATAAAATGCTTTTAGATTGTAAAATAAGTGACAGTGTGTTCTACAATCTTTCTTTGAAATTTTTTAATATTGATTACCCAATTTCGTCTGATAATAATGTTTATAATTAATTTTTACGGACTAGTGCTATTCTCTTTCAAGTCATCTTGTACCCGGTCAAGAACCGTATCGACGTAACCATAGATTGATTGTACGCCTCGTGACTCCCAAAAGAAAAGAGGATATCACCGTTTACATGTTTCCTGTCTTGCACTAAAATCAGTTCACCGGTGACGTACTAAAACAACATTGCTGAGGGAAATAGGTACCAAAGTAAGCATTTTATTATTTTCAGCAAGCAATGCTTGAAATCCGAAGTTTCAAAATGGCAGTAAGTGTCATAAATAAATCAAACCACAATTTTTACTGCTGCAATTACTCAATTCTATCTTTGCTTATCGTGTACGAACGACCAGCGCTGCATAGTTTTATTTCCCGAGGAATCAGTTTCCAGCTTAGGCTTTTCTTTTCGTGTCATATGCGGACAAGTAGAAAATAAGTTATAATTCCCACCATTTAGTTATTCCAGTGTGTTATCATGTAGAAACGACCAGTTATGCGTAGTTCCATTTCTCGATGTATCAGTTTCCAGCTTAGACATTTCCTTTCTTGTCATATGTGTGCGAGTGTCAGTGACCAATCTGTTAACAATCAGAGTAGCCGTAAATAAGCGAATTTTTAAGAACGTTGTATGATAAATAATGTTTATCAGGAAATGTAAAAGTACTGTTCGAGACAGAATAAGTGCACTATGCACGTACAGAAAGACTTCCTGAAACAGTTATTTTTGTATCTAGAACGCAAAAGCATTTCGCATTTGCGATTTAAACAATATTTTTTCGAAAACTGCCAGAAAATAGGACAATTATTGTGTTATACCTAAACAACAATTTAATTTATATTTGAAATCGTTTGAACCGTGTTTGAATCAAGACGGTTTAGCTGTGGTGACTATCATAACGATAGCAACCTAATAAATAATAAAAATTAGTTGTTTGCAAAAGTAGTGTCAGAATTTTATATTATAATTCATATTCTAAGTGTTTAATTCAAAATGAGCTCGGAAAGTGAAGACGAGCATTTATCAAGGGAAGTATTGGAAGCGGCACAAAGTGCTAATTCACAATTAATCACCAAAAATCGTCGATACAGTACGAGATTGCCTACAACGAATTCAAAGGGTAATGTAGTTCGAAGAAAATTAAAAAAGTGTCCGAGGCGGTATTACTGGCATATTTCGAACATAAAATTAATAAAATGAAACCTCCAATTTAAATCAAATAAAAATCGATCGAGTTACTAATTTTGAACAACTTTTCAGGTCAGTTTTAATAATTGGTGTTGTGGAGCTTTGAGAAGAGATGAACTACTAAAGATAACGGTCGATGATATAGAAGACAAAGATACAATTAATAATTATTATAAGAATTCCCGATTCCAAAACTCAT